CTGCCCGAGCCCGCGCTGGCACCGGGCCGCCTCGAGGTGCTGCGGCCCGTGCTGCGACGCTGCGCTGTTCGTTGGCAGTGAGGTTTCTACACAGGGGGTCAGAGAGCAGCTGCTAAGCTTGTGATGATGAATGTCCTGGGTTAGAGTCTATATTTAGAGGAATAGCTCTTTTGTTTGGTAAAACTGAGCTTTTTTTGTTATTGCTTCATTCCAAAACCTTTTAATTTCTTCCCTACATTTCCCTGCCAACCCTGATCATTAAAGCAGCCACTGCAGTTATGCATCAGGCTTAAAAACAGGAGAATTCTTTTATTTGAATGATGAATTATCCTGTGATTCAATAATTGAAGTGGCAGGAACCTCACACGGTGTCCAGTGCAACCCCCTGCCTCGAGCAGGGCCAGCCCTGACACCAGAGCAGGGCTGAGGGCCTTGGGATTCGTTCTGCGGGACTCCGGCTCCTGAGGCCCCAGCAGGGATGTGCTCGGGGGACATTTCCAGGCTTCCTTACACAGCCTTTTCATCCCCTCAGCGGGCTGTCAGGGGTGAATAGGACGTGTGCGCTGGCAGCGCTGAGCTGAGAGGAGAGCCTGGTTTTCTCCACAGCTGTCCCCATGGTGGTGGCTGGGCACGGGCCAGCCCGGCCATGGAGCTCTCGCCACGCTCAGGAGCAGCAGCCAGGCCTCGCTAATTGACCCCCTTCTTGGCAACCTCATCAAAGAGCCTGCGGGATAAATCAGCCCTTGATTGAACTGTTTCCTCGGCCCCAGAGGTGGTCCCTCTTAGGCAGAGCTGAGGCTTATTGTGGGGCTGGGGGAAGAGGCCTGCAGGGCTGTTAGCCCGTGTTCTCAAAGAGCTTCAGTTGACTGCGTTGTCCACTGAGATGGGAGCATTTCAGTGGCTCGGTGTCCTTCTGGTGCCACCCCCACCATGTTGCCCATCCACCTTTGCTCATAGATCTACTCTACTGATGCCCAGGGCGCTCATGCCAAGGCGCTTTGGAGGTCAGAGCCGGACCCTACCCCAGATGAAGTCTGCAGTGGTGGATTCACACTAGAAAGCAGCTTTGTAGCAGGAAAATCTCCAAGGAAAGCCTGGCTTCAGAAGCCAGGGCAGATGTTAACAGATTTGATGTGTTCTTTACCTTGAAAATTCATGTTGGTGCTTGTTCCCAGCGCTGCGAAGGCACGCAGAAATCTCGCAGAAGTGAAGCGTGCAAGTTTCAGCTGATTAATGAAGTATATGAAGAGAAAATATTAACCATTTATTGATGCCTATAAAAAGCTACTTTAAATATTCTTGTTAATCTTGAGACAAATTCCCATACTTTTTTTCTTTTTTTTGATTCCAGACTGGGTTCATAGTGCAAAATATTTGAGCTTTCTGTAGAATGAGAGGGCCAGGAAAACTCTGATGAGCGAAAATACTTCAAAGTATATTGACTGAACTACTTTGTTTTCAATCAGGTTGTGTTTAAACTCTGAGATCTAACAAATACCACTCTGCTTCACAAAATTTATTGTGTGGCAGAAAGGATTTTGACTAATGATAGAACAAAAATAGTAGCACGAGCCTTGCCTTTGGGTGAAGGCTCCCCTTCGGCAGCTGTTCAGGACCTACTCTGTACTCAGCAAACAGAGTGAGTGTGTGCGGAATAAATATCGATACAGTGGCCTTGCTGCCCCGATAGCCGCGCTTCTCTGCAGCGAGTTACAACATCGGTCCACATCACCGTCATGTGAGGGCAATAGTGTTATGTTGCTATGACGGCCAGATATGGGGCAAGGTAACATGTTCTTGAGTAGCAAATATCTAACAGCGCTTTCCTTTTATTGAAACTCATGATGGCATCTATGATTCAGCAACAGTAACTGTGTCATCTTCGGTTTTAGTGATGAAAACACTCGCAAAGACTTGAAGACGCTTCCTGTCTTTCCCACGAAGACACTGCAGGAGCACCCATCGCTTGCGTACTGGTGAGCTGTTACCTAATTTAAAATGTAGATCTTTGCTGTAGATAACCATAGCAAGCTCATGTTTTAAGAGTTTAGAAAACTGTTTTAAAAGATTTTTGCCTATGTGGTGTAGGACATGGAGTTAATTGAGTTAATTGCTCCTATTCAAACATTTCAAACTTGTAGCAGGTTACAGTGACACCCAGATCAAGGCAATTCCCTTACTGAAAGTTTGATGACACTGAATTGGTGGGTCAGAAATTTCTGGATCAGAATTTGAGGGTAGCACGCAATGGAAAGTCAAATCCTAAACTCCAGCCAAGTCTGAGTTTTACAAAGAGCACATTACTTTTCAGCTGTCCGACAGCGTAGGCTCCAAAACAGAGAGGCAGGTCCAGTTTTGTGCTCAAATCTGCTGTAAGAAGCACAACACTTGTGATGAATCAACAATTTGTTTGCTTGTACTGGATGGCCCTTTGTACAAGTTTGACTTGCTCATTTGTTTCATTGAGGATTGATATATAGTTAATGTATTTTTAAATATGCTAGTACTTTTTCTTATGCCTTGCTTTTTCAAACTAAATACTGTTAATTTTTTTTTTGTCTTCCAAGGGTCTGACGCTGAACACGTATTTTATTTCACATTCCAGTAGAACAAAATGTTGGAGGGGAAAAATATGAAGAAGTTTTTGCTGTTAAATCTGCAGTTCTTCATCTTTTAAATGTCTGATGGGAAAAAGTACACTAGAACAAAAGCGTTTTGGTTTCAACTTTTGTCATATATATGCAGCATTAGCCATCTTTTGAAGTCTTGGTTCTTTAGAACCTGAAAATGAATGTATGCAATTAGTACCAGCGTTCAGCAGCAGCATCTGCAGCCAAGCTGGCTGCTCTGAAATGGTTAATTAGGCTCTGGAAGGCTGCATGCTATGGTGAGGATTAGACAGGTCCGTTCTGCTTAATGAAGGGTGGGAAACAAATCATTAAGAAACAGAGTGTAAACTGGAGTGAGAAATGTGCAGAGGGACACTTCTCTGCATGCTGAGTAGGCATCTGAATTTCAACAAATGCTATCACACTCGGAAAGGGTCATTAGCCTCTAAATTGTTTTCTGTGCTTATTTTGCAGTGAGGATAGAGTAATTGAACACTATACACAAATTAAAGGCCTGACCAGAGGACAAGCCATTGTTCAGTGAGTATGGTGCTTATTAACACATGCAAATAGTATTTTTACTTTTCTTCCTTTTTTTGGAAAGTGGTAGTGCATGCTGTTTTGGTGGTTGTTGCTTGTGAACTCTGCCATTTATATCTGTAGAAATTCTAGTGAACTGAATTTTAAAGTTAAATTATTCCAGACATCACATTTTCCAGGCATCCCTTTAAGACAGTATTTTCTCATTCAAAATACCTCAGACATAAAATAGATAATTATAGTCTTAGTTTACTGGAAGAGTCTTCTCCATGCTCTACTTGCTAGATGTTACTTTTATTCTTGAATGCTAAGGGTTAGGTATCAACTTAAGTTCTGGAAGGAAAAGAAATGCATGCTTGTGGAGAAGTTCACATTTTGGTTTTCACGTGATAAAGGTCTTCCAGGGTGAATACAGAGCCCATGGAGGATGTTCTTTTTTATTTTATTATTATTATTATTGTTATGATTTGTATTGTACTCCTACAGACATGTGCAGTGTGCTGTTACAACCAAGAAGTTGAGGCTGATTTACATGATTGTCGGATATAGACAACTTGCAGTTTTTCTCTCATAGCTCATTAGTTGCACTTCTCTATATAATTCAGGGACTTCTTTCAAAGGGAGCAGAGAATAAATTATCTGCTCAGTGATTCACTGAATTGTCTCATGAGACCCCTGTGCAACTGCACATTTCCTTTGGACAATATCTATTTCAACCAAAGCACCATAATGAAATAACTATAGGCAAGTCCTTCCCTCCCGTGTTTCCTAGAAGGCTCACACGTTCAGAAGTTTTCCTCTTGGTTCTCTTCTCTGAGCTTCCGATATGAAAATCAAATGTCTTGTTGCATGGGAAATTCTCCATTCACCTCATTCGGGCCAAAATGTCACGTCTTCGCCCAGGCCTGGACACTGAGATTTTTCTGAAAACATAGGCCTTTAAATCATTAAGTCATTGGAAGCATGCAAATGATAAATGTCTTGATTCACATATGTGTGAAAAAAATATGTTAATAGATGTTCCCTCCAGAGAATCTCAGCTGATACACAATAAATCTGTCTACAGGTATATGAAAGTGGTAGAAGCTTTGCCAACATATGGAGTCCATTACTATGGAGTAAAGGTTAGTAGATGTCCACAGATAATGTGATTGCTTAGCTTATTACATGTGATTATATTCCTGAAGGACTAGTTGGATGATTCAAGACCCATCTATCAGCATGAAACCCCACATTTTTCAAGCTTTATGCTTTATTTCCCCTCCTCTTCAGTCTTCTTTGAAACATTTTTTTCAGAGAGCAGCAAAGAATTATGTGCCACGGATGACAGAAAGGAATTTTTACTAAAACCTTCTGTAATCCTATCAGGAGCAAAATTCATATCAACTTAATTAAACTGGATATCACTTCTAGATTGTAAGCAGTTAATATCTTCTCCAGGGACATCGCTAATCAAGACTAGAGAAAATAAATACAAAGTAGAGAAGACTGCTTCTAAGTGGCAGGTGATTAGTGTATGAATATGTGTGGGGAGGAATGCTGTACAGCTGAGAAGTATTTTCAGAGAGTAACGGAAATATGGCATTTATTGCAATTGCAAAGCAGAACCTGTGCAAAAGCATTTTGTGCAGAAAAGCTCTGCAGAGCTGGTCTCATTGCTTTGGCTCATGGTCATGGCAATAGTATCTGAGAAGCAGCTTCCATGAACTGTTCTGCTGCTGTCTCATACCTGAATTGAGTGGATACAGTCATTGGTCAGATCTTTCCTTGTCCCATCTTCTTACCTCCTCGTTAGTTCAACAATGAGTCATGACCATTTCCTTCAGCAGCACTGATGCTTTTCATTCTCTTTGCAAAACTACTGGCTGGCTTCTTACCTCTGACCAAGAAATCAATAGAAGAAATTTTCAGTGCTTATCTTAGCAATCCACATCATGTCAATATGTGGGGAATTTACAAAAAAAAAAGTAAAAAAAAGTTTGATCTACTCATACTTGCATAGAATGAAAGAAGGTGCAACCTTTGAACTGATTAATTCTGAATTAGATCTTGGTTCATGTAGTCTTTCATTTCTCAGGATAAACAAGGAATCCCTTGGTGGCTTGGGATAAGCTATAAAGGAATAGGCCAGTACGACTTGCAAGACAAGGTCAAGCCCAGAAAAGTAAGTTTGGGGTTGTTTGTTTCTTTGTTTTGGAGGGGGGGTATTGCATTTTAAAACATACTTTTATAAACTATGGCTTATTAGCTTGTTGAGCAACTGTAAAAGTATTAGGGGCAGAAGGAGAATTCTGCTAACATGAATGTGGTAAAATCCTCCTCTCGTAGATACCAGAAATTCCTTTAGGGAGATTTAGCTCATGTGTCTGAGTTGGGTAGTTTCAGGATAGTCTCTTCAGGAATTTTGGCAGCCTCCAGGGATAGCTACCAAGTATGAAGCAATTGGGTTCCTGCAAATCCCAAACAAAAGCCTTGTACTTGAGCAGTGTTTCAGCTGGCATTCATAGGTGTATTTTGGGTATGAAATGATAAAAAGATCGACTGATATCCATGAAATACGAGCAGATCTGTCTGCAAGGCTTTTCAGGCAACTCCATTTCCTTAATACATGGCATTTTAAGGAGGGGCTGGGGGAGGATCGGGTGAAGATGCCAAGGACTGAGGCCATTCTTTTCTGCGTCCATCCACCTTTTCTGCAACATGTCTCCTGCAGAGGGAACTCTGCCAAAACCCTCAGTTGCCATTAAAACAGGGCAGAGGGTACTATATTCCCGTGCTGGCTCCCTCAAAATCATCTATCAGCGAGCCCTAGCAAGCTCTTCTGCAGGCAGTCTTGGAAATCCATCATGCAGCCCAGGCTCATGAGGTGTTGGGAACTCATCCAGATCTGTAGCTGAATAAGTCTCATTCAGGCAGGACTAAGCCCTGCAAGATTTTGAAGAGTCAGTTAACAGATTTGCTTGTGGAGAAGAGCCAGCACTTCACGTGCAGGAACGACGCTGCTGGGTTGGACGTGCCTGGTTTCTTTCTGGTCGTGTCTTCCCTGGAACACTTAAGCTGTGAAGAGATGGAGACAGGGGCTTTTGTTGATGTCCTTTCCTGGGAATGACTTGGGCAGGAGTTCACATGAAACATGTGCTTCCTGCCATGGAATTTTACATTTGCAAAATAATATTTAGCGCATTAGTGCCAAAAAACACGGCTTAACAAAACTTCCTTGTTAAGAGTAATTCTCCTCCAAGCTCCCAGCTTGATCTTGTTCTCGTTTTCCCCACAGGCTATGACTTGGTTTCCTTTGGTGTATTTATATATCTGTGTGTCTAAGGTTGAACTTTTAAGTCCTTCCTTTGCTTTGTTAAATTAGGCACTTAATTTAGCCCCAGGTCTTCCTTACCAGGCATGTTCCAAAATGACAGTGACACGAGAGAAGCCCTGGAAGCCCAGTTAACTTAGTCATTGATCCTCAAAGGAGAGCAGCAAGCAGCTCCTCCAGCTGCTGAGCACTTTCCTGTATTTAGACACTATCTACAAGATTTCCCATTAGGGTCAAACACGGATCATTCTCTAGTCAAGACAACCAGCTGTGACCAGCAACTCTCTCCAAGAAAATACACTCTGCCTGGCTAGGAGTATTGCTGCACCAAGCACTTATTTTATGCTTGTGAGATTTTTAGTTTACAACATCAACCAGAAGATTAAGAAATTCTTTTTATACGTCAACAGGGTCAAGATACCAAGTCACACCCTGCTACAGTTACTTATGAGGCATTGCCTTTGAACACAACAGGGGTTGTGCTCAAAAAGATAAAATTAAAAAGCCTCCAAAGGTCACTTCTGCAGCCAAAGTGTTTCGATGGTAATAGCTGTCTGCTTTATTGTCGTTGTAATTATACAACTGAGATTAGTGATCAAAGTGGGACATGGAGGAGAGGAGCTTCAATGCAGCGGGAAGGTTTAATGTTAATATGCTGATAGAAGCACCCAGAATAGAAATGTCCCTAGTGTTTTTATGGGTAAAAATGGGAGGAGGAGAAAAAATTACCTGAGCATCTGAACTTTTTCTGAGCGCTGGCTACTTTTTACATGTGCTTTTTACAATATGCAAAGAGATCCTTTGAACAGAGAATGTTTGAAACCAAGTGCACTTCCAACAGGATTTATGGAAGTAACTGGAATTAGATTGGCTTCCAGGAGGAAAGAAAATGCTCGGTCTAGAGAGAAGACCATGGACAGCCTCAGATTGTGACTAAAGATGCTGAGACCTGCTCTTTATGTCCGTGTAGCTGTAGCCTCGCTGCCTGGGCCAGGGCAGGCAGAAGTTCACTTTTAAGCAGTGTTGTTGTTTGTTCGTATTTATGAATGTATCCAAAGAGGCAAGGCTGTATAGCTTGCCCAAATCTGTGAGTGTCATCCCCCTGTTTATACTGTGGATCAAAAGTGCTATTCTGTTTATCCTGAGCCATCTGGGAAAGGGAATCCTTATTGTGCTCCACGTAGCGACGTTTAAGTGCCTCTGATTGACTGAATAAAAGGGAAAGGCTGAGTCTGTTTAAGTGCCTCTGACTGAATAAAAGGGAAAGGCTGAGTCCAAATCTAGACAAGAACAAGCTGGGCTTTCCCAATTGGAGAGATTCAAGGGGTCTCTGACTGGGAAAAAAAAATAGCTGGAAAGCTGCTGAGTTTTGAGGTGAGACATTGCACAGTCGGTGTCTCTTCTCTGTGTGACACCCCTTGTCTCACGTGCAATGTTCAGGGCTGTCAGCTGCATTTTTTTAATATTGTTCAACATGTTAATGGCAGACAGCTGTAAGGGACTAACTCCTAAGTAAATATATATTTATAAAAATAATTAAATGCACCCGTTAGTGCAATATCAATTCCCAACAAATACAACCATAGTCCTGAAAAAACAGACTCTTCTGGCTTTACTCAGGTATGTCTTTAAGCAAAGAGATCTAAATAGGAGCCTTGGAGCACAGTGGGGATCCCAAGATTTTGCTGTTGCTGACAGCGTGAAGTCCAGGTTGGAAAGGCCGTCCCAGGAAATGACTTGCAGGGCAGAGCTGGATGGAGCCACCTTGGGATGCTGTCGCCCAGCCCTGCCTGGGTTATGCCCTAAGCACCAGCCACCCGTGAGCAGAACCGCACGTTGGGCCGGGAGGAGCTGCCGTGTGGGGGCTGTGAGCGGCGGCGCGGGGAGCTTTGGGCCTGCTCAATTAGGGGATGCACAAAACAGCTCCCTGTGCCCAGAGCTTTATGTGCCGCCTCCAGCCGCTTGGGCCTCCCTTCTGCGTCTGCCCGTGTTCTTCTCGGGGCCGGGACACAAAGACCACATTGTCCCCTCTGCGCCACACGCATCCCGAAAGGAGCTCAGCGCCGCGCGGCCCGCATGCGCCGGCACCCCCGGGAAGGGGAACCGTCTGCAGGCAGATCGCTCGCTCTGCCACCGGCTTTGCTTTTCTCACACTGCATTGTCCTTCTGCGGCGACTCCCTGGTGACAAACGAACTATAACGTCTGAAAAGGAAAAAAATAATCTCGCTGTGGTATTGTTTCAAATCTACAAGAATTTCAGCTCCGATGCTGGTCGCCCTGAATACGTTCTGTTCTCAGAAATGTTTTTGTTAGAGCACGCTCGTTTTGAAATGGATATTTATATCTTTTAATTCAGCGGACTCCGTCTAAATGCAGATGCTGGAAGTTTCCCTTGCAGAACATTTTCTTAATGTAAATTTTCTGTCTTGCCTCGCTGAATTGTTCCGAGCACAATAGCATTTGGACGGGGCTCTCAGCAGGCTGATCTAATTATGCAAAGATTTCTTTTACTGTGTTTATTTCTCACCGAGTAGAAGCCAGTGATTTAGGCTTACGATACTAGGCTCGCATAATTAGTTAAAGTAAACACAGAGCTGCTACAAGCTGCTCTGAAATTCAGCTCCTTCCAGATGTGCAGAAAGTTGTTTGAACATCCCTTGTCTGGGGACAAAAATAAGGGCCACGTTTCATGGCAATTTGGTTGTTCGTTGCTGCGGTATCTCTGCACTTATTGGTGACTACACTAGTGAGAACCTGGCAAGGAAGGACCGTAACGCGTTACGAAGATGATGTGATGCAAGAAGAGGGCTTTTCTTTTTTAGACTGCTGGTCCCAGTGAGTCACAGGGCTTTGGTTGCAGGTTCTGCCCTTGCACGGTCCTCCAAGAAACCTGATGTTCCCAGCCTGATGTTTTACGGAGCTAGAGGAGGATGGCAGCAGAAACATGGGGAACCTGGACGTGACGCACTGGAAAGCTGCGGCAGGGTGCTGGAAACCTGCTTAATGCGTGGAGGTGCCTGATTAATGACACATAATCAGCCAGCTTTGCACCTCGGCCTTTTCCAAGAAAAACAGGGAGCAAACCTTGACCGGGCCAAATTCTGTGTAGGGTCAGACATGTGCTGAATGGGGAGTCTTTCATGAACATTTAAGGATCTGACAATCTAAATGGATGGGAAGTCTATTAAGAAAACATTCATTAGCTCAGGTGCACCTAATCATCTGGGTAAAGAGAACATATATATTGCAAAACTTCCTCAAAACCTGCTAATTATTCCTAATTGCACATCCTGCCCTCAAAAACCAGTTCCAAGTTTCCAGATTTTTTTTTACAGCTCTTTTGTCATTTACTACACGTGTAATGTTGGTGCAATTGAAATGAAGAATGATTTAGAACGTGTCTATGCAGAGTTAGCCAGGCTTGAGGGAGTAGGAAAGCTCTGCCTGTAAACACTCACAATTTTGTGAGTAAACTGCCTGTAAACACTCACAATTTTCCGAGTGTCTCCCTTTGACCACAATTGAGAAAATATTGCTTGAAGGAGTTTATAGAACTTCAATTAGCTTACTGTGATTTTTAAATTTATTATATTTTTCCCCGTGTTTATGCTGGGGAGGCCTGTTTTCTACTTGCAGAGGAAAACCCAGAGATGTTAGGCAGAAACTCATTAACGCTTGTGGTGGTGGTGATTTCTGACTGCGTCCGTATGAACATTGCCTGTGTACGGCTTATTCCGAAACTGCTCAGTCATCCGTCTTCAGGGAGAAAAGTAACTGCAGGCAGGTGTTACTCCCGCCTGCAGGAAGCATTTGCCAGATGAGCCGATTCCCAAGAGCTTAGCTGGGAAAACCTGCCGCGCTTCCGAGGCCCCAGAGCCTCTCCTGCCTGCCTGTTGGAGAGTGTTGCTGTTTTTTCTCTTTTTTTCCCGATTTTTTCTTTTTTTTTTCCCTGTCGTTCCTGGGTTTCCTCCCTCTGGGGAGAGGGTGGAACGGGGAGGCGTCGCTGCCGCAGCGCGGGTGATGTCAGACGGGTGTCAGCGGCGGGGGGCGGACACACTGGGCGCCGCCGCTCCTGCGCCTTCGCCTCGGGAATTAGGAAGCCAGTGAAGGGAAGGACGGAGCGCTTTGCAGGCAGGTAAGTCTCCGTGCTGTAAAGATGAATATTGGAAAAGCGATAGAGGCGAGTTGGGGCAGAAAGGGGAGACATCAGGATCCGGACTAGGATCAGGGTCTGCGTGAGGGGCTGCCAGGTGTGGAAGTTCCCCTGGCTACATGACTTGAGTCCGCCCCAAAGGGCGCTCAGGAAAGCAGTCTGGGCAGGCAAGTCACTTCTAGCATTCAATACTTTCAATGCAAACTGAAGTTTACTTAAGCAGCACAGTTAAACAAGCCTCCATGGTCTATTTTTTTCTTTTTTCTTTTTCAATTACTTGTTGGTTTAGTTGTTTTAGGTAAATGGCATTTCTTGCAGAGCAGCATCTAATCCTAAATTCCTGCGCTGGAAAGGGAAGGTCTGTCTAACCAGCAGGAAAGGTCATGGAAAGAGCAGTACCGGATTTTTTTTTTCCCACATACATATGAACTGGATTATGTTTTATTTATGAGCCACTCAAAGAGCGTTTCGAGCACAGCTTGGTGTAACTTGCAGTTTTAGGAAACTTGAGGTTCCCCACACGCAGCCCGTTTGGTGGCCCCGAGCTCTGTCCTGCCGGGAAAAAATGGGATTTTCACGGAACTGCTGCGGGGCGTCGCTGCCGCGGGCTCGTTTCCTCAGCTGCATTTAGTGAGTGCCAGGAGGACTTCGGTCCTGCTCCCAAGCAGATATATGAGATACAAACATCTAGGAGTGAAATTAAATGTCCTGTTGATGGGGGCAGATGTTTTCACAGGCAAAATCCACTATTTGCAACGCGTTGCCTGCAGGAGTGGGGATTTGCTTGAGGAGTAGCTAATGTGGTTATGTTTATGTGCTTGTTTTTATTGATCTTTGGGTTGTTGTCACTGAGGAGCCTCTGCCATAGCTGCAGATTTAGAGGAACTGCAATTTGCCCAGATTGTGTAACCTGGGGGAGATAAGCTGGTGATTTGTGGAGTGACAACATTTTGTTTCTCCCCTCTGATTCTCCTAGCTATTCCAATGGAAGCAATTGGAAAATCTCTATTTCCGTGAAAAGAAATTTGCTGTGGAAGTGCACGATCCCCGCAGGTAAGACCAGTGGGGTAAGACCAGTCCCGCAGACCGGGATTAGTCATTTCAGGTTAGCTCACGGAGAAGGGAGGTTTCCTCATTGCCCCGGGTCTGACGTAGATCCGGGAGGTCACTCTTGCTCCGGGACACGGAGCCTCTCCTGCATCCAGCGGTGCCGGGGCAGGGCTGTGGGTGCTGGATTCGGGGATACTGCTCGGGGAGATGACAGCCCTAAGGAGCAGCGGGGAGGTGACGTTCCGAGAGCCCCGGGGAGGAGAGGCAGGAGCACCGGCTGGTGGGCAGGAGTAAAGAGCTTTTCCTTGAGTTTCCAGGTCTCTAAAATACAGGCAGAGAGCCCTGCCTGGCTAGGAGAAAGGTATTTGGGACTTGAGACTTCAAAGGCACATCGTGAGATTGCATTTCTCGCCACCTCTTTAGAATTTCAGTGTCAAGAAGGACCTTTGGACAGAGCGGACTGGTAGTGCAAACCTGGTACGCAAACACTTCCCTGATCAAATCCATCTGGGTAATGGCAATCAGTCAACACCAGTTTTACTTGGACAGAAAACAAAGCAAAGTAAGTTATATTTTTACTGTAGGCATAAGTCTCAGCACCTTTCCTATGTATCGTCCGGTGTACCTTGCTCCAGAAGTAAACTAGTCTCAAGAGAGAAAATACAAATTGCTTTTTTTTTTTTCTCTCAGCTTTTTGAGCAGTCTATTAGCTACAGTATTTGTTATTCGATTCTTTTTAGCCTGCCTCCAATTAAGTGGCATGGAAATGTAATCACAGAAAAGGGAATTCCCATGTCACGGTGTTTAATCTGCTTTTTCTTTTGTCTCTTTCTCATTTGAATTTTGAACACAGTGTGAATAAGGAGGAGATTTTGAGTTTGGGGATGATTCAGGCTGTGGAGGCGGGAGCGGGACAAGGAAGGAATGTCAGAGCAGTGAAGTGCACAGTAAGCTGCTGTGCCATGGGGTTGCTTTAGCCCTTAATTTACTGGGAGATGAGGTGTGAAATGTCATCTCTGTGACCCTGTGGTCTGAAGCTAATTAGAGGTAACTTGATGATGATGGATTTATTTATTTATTTATTTATTTTTAACTCCTTCAGGCAAAAATTCCTTCAGCCAGAAGTCTGGATGATATCGCCATGGATCTGACAGAGATGGGAACACCAAAAGTTTCAAAACTAGTAACTATGGAGGCCAAAAACCAGCTTATTATGGCCAGCAACGGCAGTTTAATCTCATCAGGTAATATTACATGTAAATGCAAGGTAGTGAACTGTCAGTACAGCAGGGCTTGTGTGTGTTAAAGGGGAAAACAAGGCCAGCTGACCATAAATTCCGCGTTATATGTGACAGCTTGTCTTAGTTACATACCTGAAATAATAATAACAGTTATATAACTGCTGATACCCCTCCCTCCCATCTCCCCAAAGCCTAAATAAGGAGGTGAAATGATATTAAAGACAGGCATCCGTATACTTTTGGTCCATGATTAATTTGATACCAATTTATGGAATCATCAGTCCTTGAATTAAGTTCAAGTCTCATCAAAGTCCAAGGGAAATCTGATGCTAGCTGACTTTAACCTCCTGTGCTAGGCATTGAATTGCCCTGAGCTCCCTAAGTAACGGGCAGAGAAGGAGAAATGCTTCCAAATAAAACTCAGATCTGGAGGGGATTCTACCTTGACTATGAAGGAAGCCTAGGAGAAAATAAAAGCTTAGCTTGCCACATAGACATGGCTATAGTTAAGTGAGGAGCCTCTGTGTCTGCATGGAATGCAAAATCAAAGCTATTAGTTCATATATATGAAGATCATCATGCCTAATGATTTGCTTTATATTCTGTATAATGGGTTTTGAGGTCTTATGCTTGAGATTTAAGTGCCTGTTTTTATTCCCAGGATATTGAATAAGTGCAGACTTTATAAAACCTTGCTTGCTGGATGGCACAGGAGTTGGATCACAGTCATTTTGAATGATGCAGTTTTATTACGTTAGACTCCTTTGGAAAAATAGCCTACCTGGCCAGTTCTTCCTTGCAAGAAGAAACAAAATGGCTTTTACCTGCAAATTGTCTAATAACAGTGTATTTTGCAGGTTCTCAGGATTCAGAGGTCAGTGAAGAACAAAAGAAGGAGAAAATTATGGAACTAAAGAAGAAAGAAAAACTCCTTCAAGAAAAGCTGCTTGAGAAAGTTGAGGAGCTGAAGAAAATTTGCCTGCGAGAGGCGGTAAGACCTGCACCTTGCGCTATGGTGGAGGTGGGTTAGAGCGCTTCTCTCCTTCCAGACCATCACCTAGAGCCTGGTCTATTCCCCAGGAGCTGACAGGCAAGATGCCAAAGGAGTATCCTCTGAGTGCTGGAGAGGAGCCTCCCCAGGTCAGGAGACGTATGGGCACCGCATTCAAACTGGATGACAACCTGCTCCCTAGCGAAGAGGTGGGTACTGCACTTGATGTTTTCTTTCATTGAAGGTGGGGTAGCCAGACCCCTGACCAAAGCCACTTCTAAATAAACGCTTTCCTGATTGTTTGGATCTCTGATTTTATCTGGGGCAGCTAGGACAGTCGCATGCCTACGCAGGGAAACGTAGAGTACCATCCTTCGTTCAACTGTGCTCTCTTTGAATACACCAGGAAGATGACTGTATCAAAAAGCCCAAATATCCCTCCACTTCACCCCCTGATTTGACTCTGCCACTCGAGTGTTAATGGAAATTTTGCTGCTAATTAGAGAAAGGCAGGTTTATAATGCAGTTCGGCAACATAGGGCTTATGAGCTTGTTTTTCTTCTAAAATGCTGATTTGTGGAGTGTTGAGGTCGTGCTTGATCCAAGTATGTGGCCTGGGTGTGCTGTTCCCTTACAAAACCATCTCTCCATGAGCACAGGAGATAACTCCACGTGACGGTAGGAGGAGATTTATCTCTGGTTAATTCAAGTTCCACCTAAGTAAAAGCTCTCTTGCTCAAGAAGCTAATGGGATGTTCTCTGGCAGGGACTGGCTCAGGAGATAGGCTAATTCAGACATATGCAGTGTCTGGACACATCCCATTCCCTCTCATTCCTTAGGAGATCTGTTCACTAGCTCTGTTATCCAAGTGTTAAGTAAGAGGAAGGCTCTGGCAGGCTGTCTTCTACCAGAACTCACTGCAGCAACTGCTAAATGCTCCTGAAAATAATCCTACCGACAAGACATAAGAGTGCATTGCTTATCACCTCTGCAGTGCCTTTTATTTGAGCAACTCAAAACTGTTTACAAACAATTAAAGTCCAGCTCCCTGTTATGTAACTATGATGATTTCAATTTTCATTTTATTTTTGGAAAGTAAAGAAAGATTTCCAACAGACATTTTCAGACTTTGACTTGGAGCAGGTTTAGCAGCCTGCAACGTGTCTTGTTTAACAGATGGACCTAAGCTGGAATTTAGATGTCTAACTTATGTCACACAGCTCGAGAGCTTTGGACATTTCTCAGAAGATCTCATAATAATGTGGGTGTTGTAGAAATGAGACCTAAGGATTTCATATCATGATCTGAGTTTGTGTATAAACTTTGGAATTTCTAAAGATTTCATTTCCTTATCACAGAGATAAGTCTTTCAATGACCTTAGATTATTTCTACCTTCAGTACAAGCAAGTAACTGATCTCATGAATTTGCAGGATCCCGCTCTGCAGGAATTGGAGAGCAATTTCATCATACAGCAAAAGTTGGTGGAAGCTGCAAAGAAACTTGCCAGTGAGCCAGACTTGTGCAAAAACGTAAAGAAGAAAAGAAAGCAAGAATATGCTGATGCTGTAAAAAAGCTCCAAGAGATAGAAAATTCCATAAATGAATATAGAATCAAGTGTGGCAAGAAACCAACCCAGAAATCAACTTTTACTCTGCCAGGTAAACAAGAGAATTCCCCATACTCAGTTGAAAAAAAGAACAAAAAAAGAAAGTTATTTGGTTCACTTATAAGTTCTGTTTATACCTCCTCTATATGATTTTTATCTCTTCTGTGGCAGTTAAATAAGAAAAAGGTGCAATTGCTGCATCTGACACAAGAAGTGCACTGTTTATAGGCTGTGGGCAGAATAGTCTAGAGCTTTAGAAACAAGTGCAGACATGTTGCAGCATCAGGTGCTGGCCAAAGAATGCCACACATAGAAAGATTGGCAGCAGCATCTCAGTCGAAACTGGTGTGGTATCTTAATTCCTAGCGTATTCAATGTGATTGTATTCCTAGCCTGTCGCATGCAAGAGCTTTCCTTCCACAATGCTGCAGTCCAAACAAAAGTAGAATGCATGAGTTTTTCTATAAGATCAAGGAAATAAGGATCAAAGACTTTATTTCGTGATTGGAAATTACTTATTTCCAAGAAGACATTAGAAAAGGTCAAGACATGAGGAATGCAAACTGTGGCATACAGATTTTTTGCTATATGTTTTTGCCGGTGATGATTGCAATGAAAAGAGCCTGGGCCTTCCATTCTGAAAAAGTGCTTTTCCCGAGGGAAGTGTGACTGTTTCTTCATAGGATAAAGCCCAGAAACTTGCTAGTATCCAAACTGAGTGAAGGAATTTGGGAATAGTAAAAATGCACAGATGTTGCATGCTCTCCTAGTTTCTGTTGAGCTTAATGGTTTCAGAACATGTTTTACTTTCCCCCCTCAGGGAAAATATATATGGATAATTGTTAACTGATTTCTTTTTGCATCCTCCGGCCTAGAGGAAATGCTCTTCCATGAGGTGGTTGGAGGGGTTTTCCTGGGAACTGCCAAGTGGGAAAGAAGATGCAAGATTTTTCTGCAGTGTTTACTGACACCGTCTCAGTGACCCTTGTGGGATGGAGCATTTGTTCTACCTCTTGGGCTTTGAGCTGAGAGCTCTTGCCGATATTTTCTGTGCACGATCTGTGTATCTGTTGGGAAACCCGTGTCCACTTCCCTTTCAGCATTGGGTTTGACTTCTCATCAAGCATAAAATGCAGCGACACGGGACTATCCACTGTCACAAAGTGCTTATTCTAAACCATTGATAATTGCTCTTTAACGTGGCCTAGCTAGCTGCTGATTGACAGAGATGAGGAAAACAAATGTGTTTCCAGCCTCTTGCTCACCAATCCAGGCATTAGTCGTGGGAGTGCCTGCAGTCCCTGGGCTGTGCATCAACAGCACAGGAAGTTACTGAAGGACAATAAGTAGTAAGAACCCGTGAGACACGGTCTGTACAATCTGTTTGCACAGAGGTTTTTGTGCCATTGTGCAAAACAAGGAACTTGGGAGTTGGGTTTGCAATTGTCAGTCCTTGTGCAAGTACCACTTAGCCCATCAGTTTGCACCATCTGATTCATGACATCCTTGTTTGCTTTCTGAGAAGGGTGCAGAGCCAGGAGGTGCTGGGCTCTGTGTCTCAGGAGGGTCACTGCCTGTCGGGAAGGCCTGCAAGGGAGCGTATATTTAGCTGCATTCCCTTCCACCTTCCGACTCCTGCATTCCCTTCCACCTTCCGACTCCTGTGTATTTGTTAATGCATCCCAAAGCAGAGCTGTCACCTGCTTTGACAACTGCTTTTCCTTGTAGTCCTTTGACCAGAGCTGTCTGTGCTCACAGGCTTGGGGAGGAGGGTTTCAGAAAGCTGAGCAGTGGGGAGGCAGCTGCAGCTGTGAACTTGGGCAATGGCTTGTTGGAAATGACATGTTAAATAGTAACACTGATTTATCAAGCTATGGCTGTTTCCATCCCAGCCCTCGGGGGATGGGAGATGAAGCACACACTGGGCTCTCTCCTGCTTTCCATATGCCTCTCCTCCTTTGCCTCGTATTCTCTGCACCTCAAAGGCTTTCTTTGCCAATCGCGCAATGGAAATTGCACAGATTTAGCATTTCAGTTTGGAGCACCCATGCAGGGCAGAGCCCCTGTGAATCCATCAGTGTAGCTGTAGGCTGGGGTGTTTTATTCTTTTCTATTTAGGTAGTTTTCTTCTTCCCTGGAAGAACATAGAGGGAACATGGAGAACAGTAAGACCAGTTCCATATTCTTCCATCACTTGATCAAATTCAGGTGAATAAGCTCCCCAGAAACTTCTTTCCCCCAGTGTCAGGCTGCAAGTGGAGCTGCAGCCCATCGTGCATGGTCTGACGGGCGCCCCTGGGGCAGGGGCCAGCCGTGGTGTTACCTTCTTCTTGAAGAACTTCTTTATTTGACGAATTCTTGTAACCAGAACTTTCCTTGCAAAAAAGCACCACAGCAAGGAGCAGCAGTGTGTTGTGCATGTGCATCATGACTGAGGGAAAATCAAGCA